CCCAAGACCCGAAGCCAAAATGACATTGTCCACTGGCCGTCGGTTACTGACTGTGGGCGGCCGTTTCAGCTGCACTTACGCTTCCACTCTGGCGAAGCAGCTGCTCGGCTTGGGCAGCGGCGGGCAAGCCGGTTCGCAGAACAGTCTAACCTACCGCCGTATTTGAATGTCTCCTTGAATGTGCACCACTTTACTTTGCTCTCAGATGATTATTTTCTCAACATAGCGAATCGAGAACATACTTGAAAATATTGACGGACGTGGCCCGTGTATGATATCTCTGCTATAACCACATTATTTTTCAACATCGTCGTTTAAACGACAAGTCGATGTATGTAAATGGTCTATCCTTAGGTTAAACATATGCTGCTAAGGGATCCAGCCATCCGTTTTGAAATGAATGCAGACCATGCCGGCAAATTAAAAGAACACGCAAACCGGACGGGCAAATGACGAATAGCATACCCATAGCGTATGAGTTGCCTCGGATTTAGGTCAGATCATTTAGAGTTCAGATAAAAGATAGCAACTGATAAACATTTCGAAATGACGGCATTGACTACGAGGGGCTAGCGCTGGGTCTCATATGGCGGTCTGTATATGCAAGCAGTGCCCAGACTGGTCTCCTTTCCGATATAACAAGACTTATCAATGTATCCTAGCATCCTGCATGTGGCAACTTGTTAAACTAGCCTTTGCTTTGCACTGGTCAGCATGCACAAGGCCCTTTAGAATGATGTAACAGTGGGTTAGAAATATCCTGTACTCCTTAAAGTTTCCAACCGTTTTATCTTCACTCCAATTTAAATGCATAGTTCTCTCTTTCTCCTTTTCGAAAAGGCGGCAGGGCAGCCTGCTTCTTCATCTTCACCGCAGTCCCTTCCTGTTCAAGTTACGACCAGACTGGCCTGGGCCCCACTTGTTTCGAACGAATTCCCACACCGACCATCTTGCCTGTGAATGATATGTGTTGAAAAGAAATGGCATTGATCGGCACTATTGCCCGCATAATTAGAGAACCAGCTGAAACGCATTCAGATGAAGGTAGAGAATATAAAGAATATAAAGAGTGTTTCCCTCTTTCCATCGCCAGTGTGTCACGACAATGTCAATGCATGTGCAATTTTAGTGCAGTTCTTATGCAACGTCGTTGTCACACGATGCGGGAGGGCGTTCGTCGGTCACCGCGCCCTCGGTCTGGACCGGGCCGGCTTTCGTCGCCGCACCTGTGTTGACACGCGCCGGCGGACGCTGGCCGCCGGCCAAGTGGCTCTGTATCGCCCTCTGTTCGCGCGATTTGCCGCCGATTGGCGGGAGTGCGGTCCGGTGCCAAGGCGGCCACCGAGCCACGTCACCACGTGCGGCCGGCCGCTGTGTTTGAGTTGCCGGCGAGCCTCGCCGATCAGTGTCCGCCTCACGACCGACTCACGCCGGGCCAGGCGACGCTCAGCGCGATGAACGGGCGCTGACGACACTGTGAGACGGTTTGCGGCAGACGAAATTAATGGTGGCGAGGGGCCTATGGTATGTTCTGCATAGCGTTGTAGGGATAAAACCGATGCTGTATGTATTGAGGCTATTTGATGCCTTCACGTCGCGTGATTAAAGTAATGTTGCGTGGTTTTCTGGTGGTTTTACGCGACACCTTACGTCACTGTTTGCCGACAGTTCTGCTGTGAGATCTTAGCGTGCTACGTGGTGTTACATTTCAACATTACATGACTCCATGGCCTGATTGGACCAGGTTTTGGCTACCACTCCCCGGCAGTATTCTGGGCGGCATTATTTCGCGGTTGGACCTATCGCACGGATACGAGCCTGTTTAAAAACCTACATCTCAATCCAGAGGCGTGGTTTCGCGGAATAAAACTGGCTGGTTCTTAAAACTGGAGGATTAAGCCCTCACCCCCCCCCCCCTTAAATACGAAATTACAACTCCGGATTGGTCGTCTTCTTAAACACTCCAGCTTTCACAGTGAAGCGGTTCAGAAAAAGGTCGACTGAATTAACAAAAAACATTATAAAGCGGTTATGTATTAAACTTTGATTCCCAAACCCGAGCAAAGCAACAGGGGTGTCGGGTCCTAGCTACTCAACGAGCTACTTGAGTCGAGCCACCCTGAGTTCGTCCGGTTATCGGTGCCTCTTAACATCACGCTGAATGTAGACGTAGAACTAAAACGGCTAGTACTAAGCTTCAGATGTGGTCACGACCTCAAGGTCGTAGGGAAGAACCGTGCTTGCCATGAACTACGACGTCCCTCAGCCCGTTCCATGGGACAGATGCTGCTTATGGCGGGACGTCAGGTTAGCGTGGGAAAGCACAGCTTCTTTGCAATATCTGCCAACTTTGCAAGGTGGCGGTAGGCTGCAGCCGTAACCCCTTTATGAAAAAGCGCGCCAATCGTGATCAGCTGAGCACCTCCTTTTTTCAGCGCCCCTGGTACCTTCCGCCGGTGGTTGTATCTGGTGTGTAGTGGGTGACTGGCCCAGGTGGCTGCGGCAGGTGATAGGTTACTGACCCACATGACTGACCCAGGTGACGGACCCAGGTGACTGATCTTTACGACTACTGCCGGTGACTGACTCAGGCGACCGCCGCAGGTGACTGCAGGGGACTGACCCGGGTACTGCGGCAGCTGACTGACCCGGGTGACTGCTGCAGGTGACTGACCCAGGCGAACGCTGCAGGTGACTGACCCAGGTGACTGCTGCAGGTGACTAACGCAGGTGACCGCCGCAGGTGACAGCCGCAGGTGACTGACCCGGGTAACTGCGGCAGCTGACGACCCAGGCGACCGCTGCAGGTGACTGACCCAGGTAACTGCTGCAGGTGGCTGACGCAGGTGACCAGGTAACTGCCGCAGGTGACTGACCCGGGTAACTGCGGCAGCTGACTGACCCAGGCGACCGCTGCAGGTGACTGACCCAGGTAACTGCTGCAGGTGGCTGACGCAGGTGACCAGGTAACTGCCGCAGGTGACTGACCCGGGTAAATGCGGCAGCTGACTGACCCAGGCGACCGCTGCAGGTGACTGACCCAGGTGACTGCTGCAGGTGGCTGACGCAGGTGACTGCTGCAGGTGGCTGACGCAGGTGACCAGGTGACTGCTGCAGGTGGCTGACGCAGGTGACCAGGTGACTGCCGCAGGTGACTGACCCAGGTAACTGCGGCAGCTGACGACCCAGGCGACGCTGCAGGTGACTGACCCAGGTGACTGCTGCAGGTGGCTGACGCAGTGACCAGGTGACTGCGCAGGTGACTGACCCAGGTGACTGCTGCAGGTGACGGACGCGAGCTGCGACGCCAGCGCGGAGTACTCCAGCGGGGAGTCGGGCGGCGAGCTGGACTCTTCCGAGTCGGAGGTGTTCGACTGCAGCGTGGTCACGTGCCGGGAGGTGGCGCCGGCCGCCGCCGGCCGGGAGAGCGCACCACCCCAGGTCAGCGGTGACACCGAGCGTCCCGCCTGTGCACGCCTGTGGTCTTTGACTCGGGCCGTGGGGAGTCGGCCAACGCGTCTATCCTTTCTGCACTTGCGGTCTGAAGTTTAGGTAAAGTCCCTGCGGCTCTAGCAAAAAATGGCAACTTCCATGACAAGGGGTGGGGACTTACAGCCACAGCCATCGAGCCTCAAAGATGCGACGAACAAAGTAAGTGCCGAAAAGTGTCTTGTACGCGAGTCTGCGCACTGCAGATTTGTTTTGCCACGCTAGCTGCGACTGTGATTAAACCAACGAACGGTGCGTATACTTTTTTGTGTTTTAGCTGGCATGGCGTGAAATACAATTCAACGTTAGTCAGGACACTGTGCTATCCACGAAACTTATTACATTAGACCGAGTACCAGCGAACAGACGCGGGTCCCGAAGGACATTGCCTAGCACATTTTGATATAATTGGCACTGGGTGACAATGATTCTATGAAATAGGCATACCGTCCCCCCCCGCAGTTGACCTGGTTATTTCTAGCTGATGTATGCCATCTGCCCGACACCCATGGTCCGGGATGGCTTCAGTAGTCCTCTGCTGACGCGGCGGGGCGCGGTTGGCTCCGTTCCAGGCTGCTCTCCCACAGCAAGCGGCGGTCGTCTAACGACCAGTCCGTGACCCCGCTGAACCTGACGCCGCCCCAGGCGACCCGAGACCCGGCGCCCGCCGGCGACACACCCACCCCCACCTCCAGGTGCGTGCTCGTCCGGGGTCTGTCCCCGTCAGCTGTTGTCGCGCTAACAGGCGCCGTTTCTCGCAAAGTGACCGTAGCTGATTTACGTGCCGTTTTTCACCAGATAACGCTTGGCCGTAGTGCAACGTTTGCCAAGCTGTCAGTGGGGCGCTATGATTCACTGGCCATGTGCGTAGATTGAGGGTCTGACATTGACGGCTGCATGTAAGGCAACGCTTTATGTGGGTATGTACCTACTTCATCGTGCATCAGTTCATGGCTTGTTGCCATATGTGTAGGAGAGGCATTTTAATCCATACACCACACGCGTTATGCGATGGACCACGCTGAGGCTGGCGGTATCACCTCATGGGAACGCGATTTGCTCATTATTTCATGATGTTGACAACAAAGAGTCTAAACGTGACCTCAAAACGACGCTTTTTGGGTCTGTCCAGTCCAGATTATGCATATATATATATATATATATATATATATATATATATATATATATAATTTTAGTAGCGTTGTGAGACATGAAACCGAGGTCTATTGTCCACTTATTGTCACAAAGTTACAGATACAAAGTGACAAATATGGTTATATATGTAGTTGGTTGTAAGGAGGTGTGGTCTGGTTATATATATATATATATATATATATATATATATATATATATATATAAAGTTACAACTATATACAAGTTGCATACGGATACAAAGTTACAAATACCCCTGGCACTCAGCACCTGCGACCACCCGACTCGTCAGCAGTACTTGTTCGTTCTTCCCCTGGCAGTTCTGGAGGCTCGACAATACTGACCTGCTCCGCCCCAGCACCGGGAACCGACCAATAGTAACGCACCGGGTGCCGCGGCGTGGGCGGGGCGTCACCGCCCTCATACGCGCCGACCAATCACGACGCCGAGTTCGGGAAGCGAGGGCGGAGCTCCAGGGTCACCGACCCGCCGTCGCAGGCGCGTTCCCCGTTCGGCGCCGGTGGCGGCGGAAGCTGGCCAATGGCGGGAAGGACCCGACGGCGCCGCATCCGGTCAAGGTCAGACGGTCTGGAGGCGGAGAGGTGCAAGGGTGTTAGGACAGACATGTTGGCGCTGCACAAAGTGGGGACACGTACATGGGCGTGTGGTGGATATGGCTATTTCCAGTCATACATGGGTCACAGGATTCTGGAGTCCGCTTTTCTGCGCACGCTCCAGTCAAGTGGTTAAGAAGTATCGATGTTGTCATTAAGGTAATATCAGCGACAGGTGTCAAGCGAGGATGGTCATCACACAATGACAGCAGTTCACAGATTCTTTCGAGGTCATAATCCCACCTGCTTCACCCGTGAAAATCTCCCTTGAGGTTTTCGCCTCACTACGTTATCATTAAGAAGGCACAGTGCTTGTGAAATGTAAGACATGGTAAGTATTAAAATGAATTGAGATGACCTCCTTACAATGATGATATACCTGATATTCTTAATTCAGTAGTATTTTGAATGTCTTTTCGGTCGCTATCCTTCTTAACAGAATCGAAAAGTTGAGAATGAATCGGACATCAGATGCTAACCAATATAGATATCTATGTGGCATTAGATTTCTGTGCCAACCAGTGTTATCAGCATTTTTCCCCTGCACAGACGTGATGAAGTGGCTCGCATTTCCCACACTCTGACCGAACAAATAACAATGAACCACAAGGATGAAATACGCTAGCTCTGCACAGATAAAGCATAAATTATTCTCATGAATGTACTATTCATGTGTGGTAGGGGTTTCTATTTGCGTGCCTGATTTGATTCACATATTTTGGTGTGGCGTGGTCTTTGTTTTGCAAAGTTTTAACTTGAGATAATAACCAGTCTACAAAAAAGCTGCCATCCGTTTAGACTTTCGAAGCGCGATGAAAATATCTTCAGACGGCGTTGATAATGATCACTCGTGTCAAAGCATACAAAACCTGTTTAAAGCAAAGGGGTGCTCCAAACAACTTATACGTCGCCTTCATCGAGAAGCCACACAACAACATCGACTGGATAAACAACGCCGATAAAACAACAGCAACAGGAGCACCATCATCAACATCAACAAGAACATCAACGTCAATATCAGCATGGAAATTGTCAACACCAACAAGATCAAAACCAGACGAATATCTTACTTTACCTTAAGTGGACGGAGCCTTGTGTGTGAGGATAAAACCAGTCGCTAAAAAGTTTTATCTTAATGTTCGTATACCATGGCAAATCAGAATACTTTAGAACACAATCTAGTCCAGTCAGCTTTCTCACAACCGGTACGTCCATCCGCTGAAAGAATTTCTAATGCATGCATCTGAAAGTGACATGTCTGATGCGTGGCGCAGTGTATTGTAGAGCGTGTTTGATAAGTGAAGTGCTGGGGCGAAGGTGGTATGCTGGTAAATCAAAGTGACCCATTCGGCTACGGTTTAATGACCTCGTCCAGGTTTAAAGAAAAAGAATCCTGAGACCCCCATCGGTAATTTTCTTTTGCACACCAAAATTTAGAGATTCGGCGGCTGATAACCCTTTGGGTGTTAAGATTTTGCGAGAAAAAGACGACCATCACCATTACAAAATATGCTATCAATCCACATATGTGAACTGAGCCCCGATTACACAGAAACACTCCATCCTGGCGAATGAGGTAGTCTGCACCTGTGCAAAGCCAGGGAATTACATCGCCTGAGATTTACTGTAATTTGTTCGGTCGAAGTGTGGGAAATGTGTGCCATTTGATCACGTGTGTGCAGGGGAAAACGCTCCCAATGCTGGCATCTAGTGTCCATTTCATCTTAGATCGTATTGATCCCGGTAGCAAAGTATGTCATCGAAAATTCATTCATATACATCTAACTGAACGAATATCACGTATATGATTATTGTGAGGAGGTCGTCTTGCTTCACTTTAACAAGACGTTATATTGCAAGACATGTCTGACATTACCGCGTAATAAATCTACACGTTCCGTGTGAGACGACACCCTATAAGAGCGGCAACTGCGGCGTGACGGTCTCGATGTGACCCCACCGAGAACATCCCTCGAATCCCACCGTGACAGTGGGTCTCAAACTGCAGCCGGTCACCTGACATCACAGCTGTCCGGCGCCACCGACACCACACTTGAGGACCTCTCTACCGGTGACGTCACCGAGGATACCTGTGACGTCATCAGCTCTGTGTCCGAACAGGCGTGGGACCCGTACCAGGCAAGAAGCAAGGGAGCGTCATGATGTTTGCTGCGGCTGTTCGATGATTGTTGGCGTTGTCCGAACGAGGCGCGGTTTTATTTGTTTCATGCACTCTGTACAGGGTTTGGAGCTTGGCAAAATATTGACTTTCTCCTGCCGCCATTTTGGAAGCATGACTCGCGCGTTAGTTCCCACCGGGCATTATTTGCAATCCTTTATCCATGCATCGTCATCAGCCATGTTCCCACATCTAGCAGTCACGTGACTGGTGACCCGCGAACAATGGCGTGCTTCCATGACCCACGGGCCATAGCGTGCTTCCATGGCCCACGGACCACAGGGTGCTACCGTGACCCGTGGACCATAGCGTGCTACCGTGACCCGTGGACCATAGCGTGCTTCCGTGATCCGTGGACCATAGCGTGCTCCCGTGATCCGTGGGCCATAGCGTGCTTCCGTGACCCACGGACTATAGCGTGCATCCGTGACCCACGGACCATAGCGTGCTCCTGTGACCCGTGGACCATAGCGTGCTTCTGTGACCCACCGGCCATAGCGTGCTCCCGTGACCCGTGGACCATAGGGTGCTCCCGTGACCCACGGACCATAGCGTGCTCCCGTGACCCGTGGACCATAGCGTGCTTCCGTGACGCGTGGACCACAGCGTGCCCCCGTGACCCGTGGCCTGCCGCCGGTCGCAGGAGTACAAGGAGATCAGCGAGCCGGGCTCGGAGGCGGCGCTGGACCCGGCCGCCCTGCTGCGTTTTCTCGACTGCGACGACTACCGAAACTTCCTCGACTCTGTCTCGGACTGCACCTCGTCCCAAGTCAGCGGCACGCCGGCCGCGCGCCGGCCGCCGCCGCGCCGCCTCCGCAGACAGGTGCGGCAGCTGGACACGGCCGCCATAGATAGTCACCGACATGGACGCTCAACTGATCTGGTCCGTTTGCTTGACCGCGGTTGTTGGATGGGTTAAGGTAGTGTTCATCGTGACGCTTTAAGTACATCCAAAGGCTTTCTTGACAATTTGAGCGAAATTGGAACTTGTGCTTTCGGAGTGCTCTTGTGCTTGTTGGGTATAGATCTCGAGCAGGATCATTGGAGGTTTATACCGTAGTAGAGCAGTCTGGGTACACTTCCAATCGCTTATCGTCGGCCAATTGTGACGCCAGTGGTGTACTTTCGCCCAGTGAGTTGGCAGGGGGTGGGGGCTGAACCGTGAACACTATGGGACCCACCTCCAAGGCTGCTAACCAACGTGTTTCGCCCAGGATGTGGCCCACTTTGCCATCCAAGTTAGGGGACTGGATCCCAAGTTGGGGTAGGGCTGAAGCTCCCCTCCCCCAGTTGAATACGCAACTGCACCGCTAGGTGACGCGTTAATGACGCCGTACCGCGGCGGTTGACAGTCTACCTTCGAGCCATTTAGCTGCCGAGCTCCACTGGCCAAGCGCACCGCGTCACTGTGGCGGCGGAACAGCGCGTGGCACGCCGTTTGAAACAGGCCCTCGACCTCGTCACTGTCAGCGGCGCCCGTTTGATATCGCCCGAGGCGTTGGTTGTTGACCGGTACGCCGTGCCGCCACAGCTGCGCACCGCCAGTGACTCGGGCGACAGCGACACGGACTCGGACGAGCTAGCGGCGGCGCTGGCCGAGTCGCGGCGCCGCCTGCTGCTGGCCCAGAGCGAGCTCGGCCGCCGCGCCGCCCAGCACGACCCCATCTGCGTGAGTGAAGAACGCCGCCTGCCGGGTCAGCAACGCGGGTTGAGAGTATGTTTGCGAAGACTAATTGCTTCAGAGTCGCTGGGCGAATGGCGATGCCGCAATGCTATCCATCGTTTGATCGTGGCAATATTGTTGTACGCATCGTCAGTTTTTAAAGCACGCATGGAAAAGCACAAGCGTGGTCAATTCCCTGGCCACTACATTTACTTGTTCCCCACATGAGTCATGTCGTGTCTCTATTACCGCGACGTTGGTTCGTCAACCCCGCATCGTATACCCTGGCGTACGTTATGAGATATTCCGGTTTGAATGAATGCTGCCAGATGTCAGTAGGCTCGCGCCAGCTGTGGACTTTCCCGTCACACTTGAGTAACGTGGCGTAGCGGCCGCGGCCGCGGCCCGCCGGCCGTGCTGCTCTGCACCAGTGCGGTCCCAAGGCCACCGACTGCGCGTGCCGTCCGAGCCTGTTCATGACTCATTCGTTTACGAGGGACTGCATGTGTGGGACTGGTGCCGAGCTCCATACCTTGATGCACGCGGAAACGACACTGCTTCGGTTCTGCGTTCTGAAGAAGCCGCTTTTTAGTCCGGTGTTCTGGCTGCGTGCCGATCTGAGCTGGGACGACTCGACCAGCTGCTGGTCTGGACCGACCCTGTGGGCCGGGGTCGGGAACCAGCATCTCCCTACATGAAGCCGGCAGTCGCCGAGATAAAAGGTGAGGCGAGAATTTGAAAACACACCATTGTTGCATTGGCTTCTTCGCTGATTAGTACAAATTTGTGTATGAATGAGTGTTCCCACCACTGCGTTCTTGCAAGTGTTTTGGCAGCAGTACGCAAAGACGCAGGATGTTGGAAGTACGACCAGGCACCACATAAGCAGTGCAGTTGTTTTCTACTCCGTTCTCTCTCGTGTCGGTCTTTTGCCGGCTCTGACCTCGGCCAGCGATCTGACCTGGGCTGCCCCGTGGCCGCAGGCGTGATTCAGGAGTGGGAGGGGCTGCGGACAGCGGCCTCCGAGCTGCAGCAGCGCGCCGACCAGCTCAGCCGCCTGCAGGCACGAGCCCGCTCGCTCCGGCACGCCCTCGCCTCTCTGGACGAACGGACGGCGCGTGCCGGCAGAGATGTCGCCACCGTCGACGATCTGCAGGCACGCATCAGCGCCGTGCAGGTGTGGAGCTGGACGAAAGCTGAGCTTGCTTGACCTGGCGCAAGATGGCAGATAAGGCTGAGTCTCGCTTGCTTTCACAGACATCGGATGCTGTTGTTGGCAGTTGGTCAAAGCGGCGAATAACCTCACTTGCTTAATGCAGGTGATGTCTTCTCCATCTGACTTTTTATCTTGTGGAACGGCTAAATTCCATTAAAAAGATCATCAGGACGGGTTTGCCCTTGCCCCATGAAACAGCTGGCTGACATAGCTTCAGATCCGTCCCTGTCAAATTTAGGATCCGTTTCTATCGTACCTCTGGTTTAACATGCTAGCGCTGAATGCTTACAGCCAAGCCGGCTCAACGCGCCGTTGCTGCGCACTAGGTTTCGGTGCCATGTTTGAAGCAAGCCTGTGATGAGAACCGCTTTAATGCCTCTTCTCACCAGGTGTGTTACTGCAGCGGCAGCGGCTTCTCCCCTCGGACTGTGACCCAGCGGTTGGACCGCTGTGGCTGCGACACCTGCCGTGTTATTGAGCGGCCCTCGGCGTCATCTGACGCGGATGCTGACTGTGCCAACCCGTCACGCCGCCCGACGTTAACCCCGGCGACCGGCAGGCGCTGCAGCAGGAGCTGGCCGACCAGCGGCAGCAGCTGGCCGAACTCAACTCGGCCGTGCACGGTCACGTGACCAGATGCGGCGGCCCTGTCTCGCTGAAGGAGGATATGGCGACGCTGTACCGTATCTGGGAGGAAGTCAGCCACAGGTCAGCCCGCGCGCGCGCGCACCAACAACTGCCTTGCCCAGTGGCGTGGGAGCAGGAGCTCCCCGCTGGGCAAGGCTATCCAGACCTGAGTAAAATCTGGGATTACTCCTGTGGCGTTGCTTGTGACAAGCCCCCCCCCCCCCCATCCCTTCCAGAAAGCTGTTCGCGTGTGCGTGCACCCAGGCACAGAATAGCAGGCGCGAACGTGAGTTCTAGATATAAGTTTGGCACTCATGGTCGGATATTTTTTCTTATATGAGAAGAGATTATGTCCCTTCCCGTTGCTATCCTTCCCCATCTGCGCAGGCGTGTCGGAAGGTTACTGATTTCGCCGTCAGAGCGGCAGCCTCCGAAGGTACGCTCGTGCTGCGTCCACTCCCCGCGTGCAAGCGTGACTTGTCGCTGTTTCAACCGTGAAGGCACCAGTTGACATAGGGACTGAGAGGCCTGGCTTACTGACGTGATTACGTCCGTAAGAAAGCAGTGCATGGTAGCACGGTTGCCAACCTCTGGAATACTATTGCTCTGGGGCCTGCGCGTGTGCGCCGTTATTTCGAGAGCCGGGTCCGTGCCCGGTTGTTTTGGCGTGGTTGACGGCCGTGACGTTGGTGGACTGCTGTGGCCCATCTGTGGTGACCTCAGAGGCCTGCGGTGACCGTCTGCACCCTCTCCAGGGCTCAGTCGCAGCTGGAGCATCTGTCAGCGGCCGCTGCCACCTGGCAGGAGTTTGAGGCGGCGCGGGCCGAGTTGGCTGCGGCGCTGGATGCCGACCGCCGCCGACTCGGCCTTCTCCAAGCGGCGCTGGCCACCGACTCTGGTGTCACCGGCGCTAACGTCACCGGCGCTGACGTCACCGGCCGTGACGTCACTGATCGGGCCCAGGCTACCGCTGCAGTGGACGGGGGACTGGTGAGTTCTGAGATACCTACATTTGCTTACCTGTACGGTATTAACGTAATGCCCACCGCGGCGGAGACCCATTGCAAAAGTATCCCAAGGGAGCGAATTTTGATGACTACGTCGGTGTTAACGATAGGTAGTTTGTGACGCTGTCGAACACCACTGTTGTCGGCGATTTGTGCCGCAGTGTTGTAAAGCAGAGGGGAGTTGTGGAACCGCGAACCTATCGTCAACCGTCCGGCATCCTCTTTATGCGTCTGATTGTTTCACCTGAACGTTAATGACTGACATGACTTTGCCTTCCACCTGGATTCATCGCTACGACCACTTGCTACCACCTATTGACCAGATCCGGCGATCTGATGTCCTCAGACTGGTCACCTGACTGCGCTGACCTGCTGCCGCCAGCCTGCGGACCTGATCGGGCTGACCTCGGCCGGCTTGGATGACCTCTCGGAGGGCACGTCAGGCTACGACAGCGCCTGCTCGGATGACCTAAGCGAGCGCGAGCGGCGCCTGGGCCGGCTGCGCCGCATGGCCGGCGATCTCGAGGCCGTCCTCAGTCCCGGTGGCCAGGCCTGGAGCGACATCAGACATGTGAGCAGCTTCAGAGGCGTTCCGTCGGCCGCAGCCACGGGCTTTCCCAGCTATGGCACGAACTGCAGTCGTGTTAGTGGCTGGTTGTGTTGTTTGCTGGTAATGAGGATGTCTTGTTTATTATAAACGGATTTTCTTTTTGACATGTACAGTACATTGCACATTTTGACAGTACATGCACTCGCAGCTACGGCTGTAACTCTGGTGCTGCCATCTCTGACCAGGTTTCGCTATCCCACCCACGACTTCAACAGCGCTATTTCGTGCGCATTGCTACGTATTTCCGCTCCTAAGCCGAAGTTCGAGTCAGCAGACTCCTTCCCGGGATCTGGAAGATGTTTGTGGGAGGGGCTTCCCCGAGTCTGACCCGTGTGACCCGGCAGACGCTGACGACGGCCACTTCCGGACTGCGTGACCTGCAGCAGAGCTGCCGTGACCTGGTGCTGCAGACCACCTCCCAACTGCAACCGGGGGACGACCACGCGCACGGCAGCCCCGTCCTCCGGTCAGACCATACGCACGGCAGCCCCGTCCTCCTGCCAGACCACACGCACGGCAGCCCTGTCCCCGGGCAGACCACACTCACGGCAGCTCCGTCCTCCGGTCAGACCTCGCGCACGGCAGTCCTGTCCTCCTGCCAGACCACGCGCACGGCAGCCCCATCCTCCGGTCAGACCACACACACGGTAGCCCCGTCCTCCGGTCAGACCGCACTCACGGCAGCCCCGCCCTCCGGTCAGCGCAGCGCGCTCCACGTGTTCAACACCCCGCTGAATTTTGACGGGGCAGGACTGAATTGCAACGTGCATGCCGGCTACCAAAGCTGACCCAAGCTGGTTCAACTGGTGCAACAGCTCAGCGGCAACAGGATGGAAGCTGTGGATTTGTGGAAGCTGTTTTAAGTCGTGAATATGGACTGAGCACGCAATACGATACCGTTTTGAATTTGTTGTGCAGCTCACCAATCACCCTGTTCACCCTCCCCCCTCGCCGCTTCGCATGTCACCAGGGGACCTTACACTGACCCGGTGCTCCTCCGCAGGCGGAAGAGCTACGCGCTGACGCGACGCGCTCGGTCGCCGCTTTCGCCGGGCGGCCGCGGCCGGCGCGGCTGGCTGCGGCGCGTGCTGCGCGTGGCGCTGCCGGTCCAGCTGGCCATGCTGCTCTGGCTGTGCGCCGCCTGCCTGCTGGAGCCCAGCTGCTGTGACGACCTCAATAACCTGGCCATGTCGCTGACGCCGCAGCTGCGCTACGTCGGCGGGCCGCCGCCCATCTGAGCGGCCTCCGCCCGGCTCACCTGAGCTGCGAAGCTCAGTGGCGGGCCTACACAGCTTAAGAGCCCGCCTGCGCAGCTCACTGGTGCGAGTACGCTACGTAGATAGTCAGGCTCCAGTAGGCGGTGCGGCGGACTTCGCAGTGCATGCCGCGTGTCACTCTCGCCACCCGGTGGCGCCCGGCCAGCACTGCCCTAGCCGGGGCCAGACTGGTCTGATCCGAGGTCAACTGAATACCAGAGGCCAGTGTGAACCGTACTTATCGACGAGCGTGCCAACATATGTCTTAGTGAACGGCCTTTGTTTGCCAGGATAGCAGGTAATTTATTTTTAGGAGGGATGCCCGAATGTGTACCAGTGTTTACACCACGAGACACTGCCACGAGCCTCGTGAAGTGCTAGGTCAGTCAAAGACGGTTAGAAGCCTGCGCTAGCGACGGGATTTGGGGGAGGCCCGCGTTAGTGGCGGGATTAGGGGGCTGTCATGCTTTTGTACACAGCCTTTGCTGCAGCGTTTTGATAGCGAGCACTGTCAACGGAGCACGCGATCTTCGTGTCGGAATATGTAAAGCCTCTGTTTGGCACGGTCCGTATGTGGCCTTGAGACCATACCCCGCAGCATCAAACGCTTCGAAAAACATAGCGGGGTGCGGTGGTGCCATAACCAAGCGCGAGTGGATCTCGCTCAGCCTTTGCCCCTGAGAGTTGACTTTTGCTCCCGAAGACTCTCACGCATGCATGCGGGTAAGTGTAAGAGGCGTGCTTTGTAAGCTTAATAAGTGTAGCGCTATGTTAGCCGCTGGATTATCCTGGCCCGTGTCAGCGCATTGTTTCAGAATCAGTTATTACACGCTTTTGTAAAGCTCCTAGGGTGTAAAGGAGGCGGCGGCGTGCTTAGAGGATCATTGAGTGTGTGAGGCATACCGCTTACCTTGCTTGGTAGTGCATGACGTTAGCTTCCGATATCATAGACTTGGGTGAATGTATGTACGTTACAGAGACTTGGCCTTGTGGCGAGGAGTTGGAGATACGAGAGCGTGCCTCGATTGTCTAGATGAGCAGCTGCAGTTGACCAGCGTGTGAAAGTGTGATTGTTTTAACCTGTCATGTGCCTACGTACAGCCAGCGTAAGACCTAATCTAAGCGCGACTGCTAGCATAAGACTGGAGCTAAACTGTCATGTTGGCACATTGACAACAGTTCAGCTGTGTATGGCGGGCTGTCGGCGGGATGCTGGCATTCAAGTGCCGTCTGGCAGCGCACGAAAAGGGTACAAACAGTCGGCTGTTCGACTTTCACTGGTTGGAACACGGTGATGTGGGAAAGAGGCTCCCAAATACGGTGGATTTCCGAATTGATCACATGATGAAGTGCTTGGTCATACTTTTTCATTGAGTCCATGCTGCACCTAGGTGGATGACGTCAGAGTGTTAGTCGTCTTTATATGTTTATAACGCCGAACGGACACACTGTCTTAGTCATAATACATCCGTAATTCGTTATGCTCTTTTTTCGGCAACGTCGAGTGAAACGCTATCTGTGGTTACTTCAGAGACACTGGAGTCTGTCGTTAGTCGTTAGACCCTGAAAGTGGTTGCGTTATCGAAAGACTACATCCGCTCCACTGCATGGCTGCGGCGTAATAGGCCGCCACCCCTAGCGGGGTCATCCAATATCTTCAGCAGGTGCATGGCTTAGATAAATAAATACAAAATCGTATTGTAAGCAGCTTAGAGGCACAAGGAATTAGAACAGATGTTTTAAATAGAAATAATTTAAATAGAGTCAGAAGAGAGTTTTTAGGGAAGAGTTAGAAATAGTTTCATAGCATTTGACGGCCAGCAAAGGCGCCCTTCATTTCCGAACATCCCCTCAGTAGGAATTGGTAGTACTGATTCGGTCTTTTATTTCAACACCTTGCGACGTTCTGTCCTGGTTCATCCGTTTTTTTCGGAATCCAATTGCTCCCTACGCTGTGCTAATGGTGCAAAGTATCGGTCTTGCCATGAGCGGTATTGGAAAGCAGTGTGCGGCAGCAGCGTTTTCATTACGGCACTGGCTTAGTCCACAGTTACAGACAAGGCTCAAAAACGCTAAAAACCTTAGTTGGGGCGTTGTTGAGAAATGTAATTTGCTTATATAGGTTGAAATGTTTGCTCGTGCTAAGAGAAACAAAATGGGGAGTTTTTCGGTGGTCTAAAACGAATTTAGCAAAAAGGTGATGACGTTTGCTGAAAGGGCATAGCATTGGTCGGTGGCAGTTGCTTCACACATTCGTTGTTTTTCTACTAAAACCAATAAATGCGCGAGTGACGCACTGCTTGCCAAAGGAAGCGAAGAGTCTGAAAATGGGCTGAGTTCTGGACAGATTTCCGATAAGGAACGTACCGTGGCGTGACACTGTTCCTCAAATGTCGCGGTCCGACCCACTGTAGGCTGCATTCTGTGAGCGGTTGCCTGAACCTGAGGCGTGGTCGGCTGGTGGTGCAGCAGCGGGCGCACGTGACCGCGTGACTGATGGTGCTCAGTCACGGCAGGGCGCCCCGCCCCGCCCCTACAGCGGTCACTAATCAGGCCTGCCGCACCTTGCATTGGGCCTTTCGGGCTGCCGTCGGGCCTGTGTCTGGCAACACGAGAGTAGCAGTGGTGGTGGCGGTCTCACCAACCGCTGCTACCGACTGGTCCGATCAACCACCACCACTGACTGGCCCCATCCACCGCTATTGGTGACTGACCCCACCACCGCAGTAGTACTGCCTGGTCTCACCTCTAATCACTACTGATTTATATCTCCATCCGCTACGATTCGCTGGTCCCACCTCTAATCACTACTGGCTTCCATCTCCATCCGCCTCGACTCGCTGGTCCCACCGCTCACGCTGCACTGGAGCCGACCGTTCTGTTCGCTGCCCCGGCATCCCCTGCGACGCCGGGCTGTCGCGCTAGAGCAGCCCAGCCACTGCTACTCTCGTCTGGCCAGACACAGGCCGCATGTCGAGGGCCATGGCTCCATGCTTTGGCGGATTAGGCCTGCCAGAGAGGTTTGCTATTTTCAAGAACAAGCAGAAACTTGTGATTACAAAAACAATTATCATTGTGCTGCGATAAGCTGCCACATGAATTCATTCCGCCTCGTATTCGTATTCCGTGCGGTGCACGGTGAAATAAAAATAGACAGCGTCTGGCGAAAAATTAAAACAAGTTTTAAATAGATTAATCAGGAAGGCATACAGCAAGGCAAGTGTGTAACTCCGCCATCCCTGTATCTCTCCCGGTTCCGCCGTTGACAGTTCGCATGCGTCACACTCCACCCACACGCGGCCAGTGTTGATGTGCAAAGCCGTATTACAACTAATTCTGTCAACAACCGCTGGGTGTAGTCAACGAACGGTGGAAGGCCCACTCGCCTTGAGCGGCCCATCATTAGCCCAAAAGTCTCCCTAAAATCCTTTCCTGGAATCACCTATGGATGATATATGGTACCCAAATTTTGTGAGGCCTAGTTTTTTTTAACTTTTGTTGGAAGTTAAAACCTGGCACAAATCACCATGCTTTAGCACGCTGTTCCCAAAGGTTCGAAATGTAGCTCCAACAACAACTGGTTCGTCGATTTCGTCCCTTACATGACAACAGGCAAGCACCAATTCGATGGGCCCTGTCATGGTGGAGCGGTTTGGGTAGCCGCAGCACAGTGTCTGCGTGTCCGTCCGCCCATGTCTGCGCGTTCGTCGTCGTTGTCTGCGTGTCCGTCCGCCCGTGTCTGGCGATGCTAACGACCACAACTATCACAGGTGTCGCAAAACAACCCAGAATTTATCATTACGGCTATCATGAAATGACTTTCAACGGCAATGCAGGATGCTACATTTTGCCGGCGATGTAGGAGGCCCAACTTTATTCCTGTGTTTGTATCAGCGCTTCTACTGTCAAAAGGTGAACTGAACGCCAGCAAGCATGGTCCGGTGTATCTGCGAGTCCTCTGTTGCCTGCTGACGCCCAGCGCGCATGTGGCAACGCTCCGAGTTCTGTTCGGCGCAGCCTCATTTGGCAGCCAGAGCGGCCAGAGCCGGAGGGCATCCCATTACGCTAATGTGACGCAATCACGAGATCTTGTACCGGCCGCCTTAGAACAGCTGCATATTGATTTGCACATCGCTACAAGATTTGAATCTGAACAGATCGGCAGCCTGGCGGCACGAGTTAGCCCGCTTGATGCCATATGTTTCTTATGTGTTGCCAGAGATAAGAAGAAGGGCACCATTGCATTGGTACGCATTCATATTCATTACCTCCATGCAGACATGACTGTATGGCATAGGTGCTTGCGGTGCCTTTCAAACCTAAGGATCACAAAGGGCTTTGCAAGTGGAAGCCTACCCCACGTTTTTTCAGGGGACGCTTTCTCCATCAAGCTGTGTTATAATAAGAACGTTTCCGTTAAAAACAACAATTTTTGCATCGACTGATTCTCTCACCGTCGACGTGACAGGTACGGGTAACATCAGAACAGAATTCCCGCACTTGTAAGTCACGGGTGCGGGTCACGTTCTGAAAACGTTGGCTGTTTACAGACTGGCATGCCGTGGCCCCCAGAGCGGTGGTGCTGCACTGGCCCCAGAGCGGTGGTGCTGTGCTGCGCTTGCCTTCTCAGTCTAAGTTTGATTGCAGATCGCAGCAGTGCAGCAGCAGCAGCCGTGAGCCACCAGCAGCAGCCACCAGCCATGAACAGTGCAGCAGCCAAACTTCGATTGCAGAGGAGCATTATTTGCTTCCTGTTTGTGATAAAATTGCATGATTGCGACCGACGCTCAGCCCACGGACCCACTTACCTTTTGCCTCTGGGCTGGGAATCATCCAACCCGCTCACTACTCTCATGTTTTAAGAAGTTTATCTCGAGTGCTTCGCATGGAGACTTTGCACCTCGAGCACTTGCTGAACGAAGTTTGTTGCGCGTGCCCTGAACGCACCAGTCGAGTTTCGAGTGTGATCCGTGTCGGATCCAGTTGATCGGATCATGTGACCTACGGCACCCTCGCTAGACAGGACAGCAGGGGGTGTCGGTGCCGCACCGTGCTGTGACGCGGCCTGCCCAGCTGACAGGCTGACCCGGAACCTTGGACGGCTGCCACCCGACATTTCTGCGCCATTCAGACAAAGGACACACCCGCTCTAACACTCGCAGGCCGAGTCAGCTGAGTGACGTAACACTGTCATTTACCGCATAGAATTAGCATAAATCATCCTGACACCGCTTGGAAATTATAGAACTTGCCCTACTCTCGCCCACTCGGCACTGCTGAGCAGGGACTACAGCATATTTCCTCCTCACCAAGGGAACCTTAGTGAAGGCACGTGCCGGGTGCATCACATTTTTGGCACTGCACCACGGCTTCTGCTTTTGGATTATAACTGCAAGCGCAGTTTCCAAAACAAAAAACAAAAACAAGTTGCTCAGAATAGAGACGCAGCTTCCTAACCCACCAACTGGCTAACATCTGACCCACAAGAGACCGCAGGCTTCGGCCGAGTTGTGGGCCAGACCTGGTGGGCTTTTGCGGGTAAAATATAAGCAAGCAAAGCAATGAATTTTTGTTTTTACCAACGTTTTACTGGTTTCCCAACCTCTAAGTTCGCTTCTTAACTAAACACAGCTGCATGGAAAAATCATTGTTTGATTTTTATAGAATCCTCAGTGACAGAAAGTCCATGGCAGGCATAACATACCGGCAAACCAGGCTGAGGAAAGTAATGAAGGAACAATACTAAAGATAAAACTTCAGGCATCATATCTCACCGAAAAAATGAAGAATAATCACCCAAATTCTCAAAGGCAGGCCTGGTTTCATTGAGAAGTAGCTAGGTGGATCATAGCTACATGCTGCGCAGAACGCAGCTACATGCTTTGCCTGGCTGTTATCGTTAGTGTGGGGTGGATTTGAGCCTGTTTTGTTTTTGCACAAAGCGTACCTATCTCATACTCAATATCATCGAAATATGAAGTGAAAGGAAAACCGTGTGCCTTTCTATGTCTTAGCCTCGCTCACTTGCCAATACAGTCCGCAGTTACCAGTGTATCAAATGCGCGTCAAAATGGAAATAGACCCTGGGGACACAACAGGCCTTGGTCAGTAGCATATGGGGCAGCCCTTGCGCGTGTTTTGACAGAGGAAACGCGTTTCTAACTTTTTTGGTAGCGGAGCAGCGGCGTTTTTTTAGAAACACTGCGCAGCGATCCACGGTCTGAGCGGGCGGGCGGCAACCGACGATGACGCGGAATACGCGCGGCGGGCCGGCATTGCCACTTTCTTGGTTTGGAAACGCCAGAGGTGGGGGGGGGGGAGGTCCCTTTGACACCCCCCATCAGTCTGCGTTATGAAAAAGAACGGGTCAGAGCGAGGGCTAACGTTACCATTGAGGGTCAGAATCAAAATCAAATGACAAAAAGCACCATGACGACCAAATTGCAGACAAACTAAGCAGTTTCAGCTCCAAAGCGTAGTACATCACGGGGGCGAACC